GAAATTAATATTTTATACTCTCTCTCTCTCTAAAATCAGTGAATTTTAAGGACATTTTATAATTTAAAGCAAGCAAGTAATATTAGACATACATTATTTTATAATTAGAATACGGGGACACAGGACAACTCCACTGAGAGTGAAAGAGGATATCGAAGATGTTTCTCGTGAATTGGGCAATGGGGGGGGGGTTAAAGGTTGCACTTGGATGAAACGTCCAGAACTATTGCTCTCGGCGAGTTAGGATCCAAAAAAAGTTCAAGATTTATGACCACCATAAAATGTGTTAAAGAGAGAAAAACTTGAAATTTTTTCAGAAATACTTTAAAAAAGGGAAGAACAAAAACTGTATCAAAAAAGAAAAAGTTCGTTTCATGGAAAGTGCACTTCGCTATAGAGAGGTTATTTTACGAAGAAAATCGTGAAATGTTCAAGGTTCCAGGAAAAAGTTCTTTACATAGAAACATTCAAAATATGGAGGTTCGTCATAAAGAGGTTCGACTGTAAATGAATTTTTTCTACTATTTTCTTAAGAGAAGGAAAAAACTTAATTTAAATTTCAACAATTATTCTTCAAGTGTAATTTTATAAAAAACTTAAACATATGAATTTCAAAATGAAATTTTAATAAAATAGTAGTAAGATCTGAAGCAAAGATTAAGGCTTTATGACAGCGGTTCTTAAACTATATTCCGTGGACCCCGGGGGTCCGCGAAAGTCACTTATTTAATGTTAAGATTTCTTTTTTTTACAGACCCTGAAAGGCCTCCGGGGAAAAATAAATTACAGTTTAAAAAAAAACTTAAAAACACGCTTTTATAGTTAATCGACCTAAAAAGTAAAACAAAAAATTCCTAATATAAGAATAAAATGACTAACGAGAAAATTAATATCATTGGTGTAAAAGCGTGGGGTGTTCGATATTAATCGTTATAATTTCCTTTTAGTTCTATTCCGAAATGCTGAGTTAGTGTAAAAATGTAGTACAAAGCACACCCCCACACTTTTACCCCAATGACATTAATTTTCTCGTGAATCATTTTATTCTTATATTAGGAATTTTTTACTTTTTACTTCGATTAACCATAAAAGCGTGTTTTTAGTTTTTTTAAATAGTAACTTATTTTTCTATTTTTTAGCTCGATCTACAATAAAAGCATGTATTTTTAGTTTTTTAAACTATCATTTATTCATTGATGAATTAATCTTAAAAGCGTCATTTCTTAGAATCTAGAGTACCCATTGGCATCCTATCAGTTCGTCAAAACGGCCTTATTGATTTATTTTTTTTCACAAGCATTAGTCTTTTTTTTTCATTTCCATTTTCAGTAAAACTAGACAATTGTTTATACTATGCTAAGAAATTGCTGAAGCACGTTTTCGCTGATAGGGTTGTAACTTAATCTTTTAGTCGCCAAATCTGGAAATGGTATAACGAATTAGTAGCCAAATTTGGAAATCGTTATTCCTGATTATCCTAATCAGGACAATGGAACAAAATTATTAAATTATTGTATTGTCATCGGTTCTTGACAAGAGTGAAAATTTCGAATTAATCTGACCATTTAAAAAGGGTAAAAATCGCGAATTTAAAGATTCTGTTACAGGTGAAGCTTACAAAAGCGTGTTAAAAAGATGTATTATCTTAGACTAGAGCACTTAATTGCCCCCAATGAAAAAATTCTACTAGAAAATGTATTTCGGTCAAGAATACTAATTCAGTTAGTACTAAATTAGTATTTCGTAATAGTTTAATTAGGTGTTTATAGTTTTCTCATAGAAAAAAAAGAAATGTTAAAAAGTCTATATAAGTTTCATAGGCAATCTTTGGATTATTGAGGAATCTTTAAACCACTTAGCAATGTGTTAAAAATCAGGGAGCAATATTCAAAATCTTGGGGGGTCCGCGGCGATCGAAAGTTTAAGAACCGCTGCCTTATGATATTCCTTCCGAGATAAAAGTTTAAAAAGAAATTTATGATTTACTGCTTTCCATCCGAGGCCTAGTGAGCAATAATTCATAACGATTTTGAAACTGCTTCTTTCATTGCCGTCAAGTTCGACCATTAGCTAATGCGATCTACATGTGCATTTTAAGTTCCTTGCACTCCACTAACACGCCAAGGATTTTGCAAATGAGTCAAAACAAGGCTACTTGACTTTCAAGGATCTCTCTATTTTAGTTCTTTTGTTGAGTGGAATGATGAAAAGGCCGTGTATAAGATTAAGACTTAATTCACTGTAATACTGTAATGTTAAAGTTTTTTATGTTACGAATAACAATAGTCATGGTCGAGAAATACTAACATTTGTTACTGTAATAAAAATCCCACCGAAGGTGTTCTGATGTTTCAATGAAATTAATTTGAAAGTAAAATTAATGTTTTCTTTTTTTTTCTCTAAAAAGTTTAGTCATTAAAAAGGTTTGCCAAACGAGCGTACAGAGGACACAATTTTAATCTTAAAAATTGATTTCCAGTAAATCTGTCTTATGTGTTTGCTGGTAAGTGTTTATAAACCAATGTTGAAACGTACACCCCCGCAATGAGGGGGGGAGGCAAGATTCTAGGTGGCCCAAAGCCTGATTGACACCTACATACCCTTTGTAAGATCCGTCTAGGGTCCCAAAACTTAAATTTGCAAGGGGGATTTACATTCTCCATTACGACCCTGTTATTAAAGTCACATTATAAAGCAACATGAAGGCTATTGCCGATGAACTTCGTAATTTGAACTATAGTCAAGTGATGAGGAACTGCAAGAAAATCTTTCTAGCAAAGCCCATGGGAAATAAGCCTCGAGGCTGACCCCCGTTATAATGGATTGACTGTGTTGAAAATGACATAACAATTGGAAAACAGTTGCCAAAAGTAGGAATAACTGGAGAGGACTTCTGGAGAAGGCCAGGGCCCACCCAGGGCTGTCGAGCCTTTGAAGAAGAAGAACCCCCTTAACATCGCATTTTGAAGCAACACTATGACTATTGGCGACAGACCACGTAATTATGAATCAAGGTCAAGGACGAAGACATCACTTGAGGTAGCCCTCCACTCTCCAAACTTCCATGCCAACGTGGACTGAGCATATTTATAACCAGCCCCTCTACAAAACGAGTCTTTAGTGGCACCAGGCCTCGGGCACTCGAGTCCGCATCTATGATCGCTCAGTTACCACGGTTACATTTTTTAATTTAACGCATCACCAAAAAATACCTCTTTTAAACATAAACAATGTTTTATAGGTATATAATTTTGAAGAAAACTTCACGTTTTCAATATTTCCATTACTCGGTCACTAGCTTGTTAATAATGTAGATACAGCAAAAACGATTCGATAAATAAATTTTAAAAAAATTCGTGCTTGATGATAAAGTATAACTTTAAATACATTTTACAGTTTACCATCATGTTTATAATCAATGACGTCTTAAGGCTTCTTCAGGCCCTGAGCCCTATACAAAAGTGGGTTCCATCTGCGACCTTTTTAAGAACACAGAAAATGGCATATGTTGTCAAATACTCGAACAAATGGGCAACCTGTAAAAATAAATGTGCGCGAGTCACAATCTCACAGACCTAAACACAAAACGAATCGATTGACTGCAACTTTGTGATTAAATGAGTAATGATGGTATATGCATTTAGGCCTAGGCTTAGACAAAGTGTGACGGACATGATATAGTAATACAGTCTTCCCACTTTTGCCAGTTGGCATGTATAACACGAAATTCCCAGTTTTCGGAAAAAATTTCCAGGAATAGCATTTGATGATTAAAATTATTTGGATTATGATCTTACTTATTCCGAGACAAAGCTCAGATCCATTTTAGCCCGTGCCTTAAAACGTCTGCGTTAAAATAATAATTTCTAGTTTTTTTAAAAAAAATCATTTTTACAGTTATAAATCGCTATTCTCATGCTTGTTTTGTTTCAAATACCGAACACAATTTCATTTCTATATTTTTTTTGTGCAGAAATTTCAAGAATTTTATCTTGTTTAAAAGTTCGGTAGTATACACAGCCAATCAAAGAGAATTATTGATCTCTTAAGATCAATTAAAAGCTTTTCAAAAACACACTGAAAAATAAGATAAGGCCATCCTTCCAACCATCACAGCCTTATCGAGAAACAAAATATTAAAATGTGGCATCCTCTAGAACTGCTATCTGACAGAAAATGCCATCATAGTAAAGACAACACTTTAAAAGTTTTCCATCCATCCGACTCCAGAAGATCCCTGCTTCTTGTGATGCAGACAGACGCGTTCCGGTTGTGGCAACAACGTTACAAGAGCCGACACGACCTTGAATTTATTTACTGAAACTGTTCCCTATTCACGACACGAACACATGTTACATAACAATCTGAGAGAAAAATGTCCCCTCCTCTGGCTGTCATGAAGGCAGAATATTTAAAAATTGCACAGCTGTGTCAAGAGTCCGCGCATTGCAAGAACTACTATTAATCTCGGTTTTAAGCGACAATTAGAAATGCACACCTGTTGCTCGATAAAAAAACACGTAGTTTTTGGAGTGTAATACATGTGCTGTGTGTGTGTGTTCTCTGTTCTATAACTACTTATATCTAGTGGTTAACTTGAGAAAAATTTAATTTTTACGAAAATTATTAATAAAATCAAACATTCGATTTGAATATTTTAAACTCTTATATTTATATCTTGAATACATTAGATATAAAAAACAAGTAATATAAAAAAAATTAAGTCAATTCCTACTTATGTCAACAAAGAAATATTTTATTTTAGTTACTTTTTATTAAATAATTATAATTAATATAAATATGTTTATACATATGACACAGAGAATCACAACATTAAATGGCTAAATAGATAGCGATTTTTCTTGCATTTTTCCATTTTCCTTTCTATATTAGGTGCTGCGGACTATTTTTTTTGTTTCTTTCTATTTATTCATTTATTAAATTTAATTATTCCAATAATATAGTATAGTAAAAAGAAATGACATTCTCAAAAATTAGACCATCCCTGGTGGTATTCGAATCCACGATCTTTGAATTAGAAGTCCAACGCGCTATACATTACGCTACAGGGATACAATAAGTGAGTTTCCTTTTTATATATGGTGTTGGACTATTGTTTTTTTATTCATTAATTAAATTTAATTAATGAATAAAAATTTAAAAAAACTGTATTAGCATCAAGTATCATTACTACAAGTTTTAAAAAATATATTTGAATTTGAGTAGATCAGTGCTTCTCAAACTTTCACTATTGGGAACTCAATTCCCCCTTCCCCCTTATACAATAATAATGCGCTTTGGGGGGCGCTAAAGCTACAATATGATCTTAATTATAAACCGTACAAATTAACAAGATAAGAATTAAATTTTGTATTTGTTAGTTTTAAGTAATATTTATTTTGAGCAAATTACTTTTAAGTAATAGGATAATTATTGTTATTTTTCTTTTCTCTAATTTTTAAATTGGAACAGATTGCAAAATGATATTTAATTAAAAATTTATTTTCTCCATCATCCATTTCTAAAAGTATAAATGTCATTAGAAAAAGAGTCTAGTCTACGTTGCTCTCTATTGGTATTTAAACATTAATATTTGCATTAATATTTAAAGCGAGAAGACTTCAAAATGCTTTAACCCGGAAGAGCAGGCTCACACTCGATACTAACGTTAATAGTCGCGAGAAGTGACTGAGTCACCCCAATGCTTTTTTGTTTTTTTTACAATTATTTTTATTGTACACGATAAAAATCACAATTCAAGTATTACAATATTTTGACTTGAATATCTGTAATAAAAAACCAAAAAAGGGTTATTTGATATCTAAATTACATAACTTTAAAATCTGTTTTTGATATTTTGATCAAAACAAATGGAAAAAGTTGGCGAAACATACTTAAAAATGAAATTAGGAAATACGAAAGAACAGAAAATATTCTTTTCATTTGATATAAAAAACAAACTTTGAAAGATAAAAAAATAAATGCAAATCAGATAATTCCAAATAAACACATATTGCTCAATTAACTGCATTTGAAAACAACTTGGAAGCAAGCGTATTCTGAGCACTCTCTGTATAACCTGCTTTTGAATTTGTTGTTGAAAAACTATCTACAAATTTCAACACCCGTATGTGAAAATTAAAAAAAAAATAAAACTCTCGAACATGTTTTAAAATGCAAAATTGAACGGAATACAGTAGAACTTTTTCTGAAACCACTTCTTTAACTGTGGTGCACGGTAACATTAAACGCTTAACCCATTATTTTTGTAACCTTTTACCGCTGCAGAAGGATTTCGTCATGCAAATGCTGGGTAAAAGACCGCTTGAATACAAAAAAAAAAAAAAAAAAAAAAACAAGAGTTGTAAAATTTCACTTACATTAACCCTCTTGCTGAAACATCAATTTTTTTGCCTCACTGAGAAACATCCGTCTGACAGACGGATACGTAAATGTCTTTTTGAATTTTATTACCTTAAGGACTGTCTTAAAAGTCCTTGTAACTCATGAAATTGAGTATGGCTCAAATAAGATGTGTGGGGTTAAATAAAGCATAGCAATATATTTTTATCACTAGAATTGGGACTAGTATTTCTATAAAAACTGATTAAAAATTATTTATATTCATGTAAAAAAGTAATTAAAAATAATATCGAATACGAGAAAACTATAGGAATATCCGTGTGATAGACGGTGATAGATAAGAAAAATCGCACATATCGTGAGTTGAGTGCCACCACATGATACTCTCACTGGGTAGAGTCCGACAGAAGATGTCAAGGCAGCCCATCCCAAAAATCACACCACAGCGTTATCTACATGCATCAAAGCAAACCATCTCCATCTGAGAGACGGATGTTCCGGTCAGAGGGTTAAACTAACATTCACATTGGTTTTTGTTATTAACGTCACACTTAGAGCCTGCACGAGGGCCATGAACGACGTATCACTTAATTTTAAACCACGATCGAAGAAGATATTTGAATTGGCTTCCCACTCTCCAAATTTTCACATCTCGCTAACGTGCGGACTTAGAGCATTAGTTTTATAAAACGGCGGGTATGCAATGATACTAGGGTTCGAACTCACGACTCGACCTCGCTGGACACGAGTTTGGTTTTCCGGCTATGTCCACTAGGCTGTTACGGCCACAAACTGAATAAATAACCTTTAAATAAGAACAACAACAAAAAAAAACTAAAAGATAATTACAATGCGAGTGAAAAGTGAAGATAACATTATTTTTGTGTCGTTAAATAAAAATAGAAATTATGTGCAGATTTTGCAGAAACAAAGTTATTTTGCCTACCTGTTGGTGCATTGTTAGATATTAATGTTTGTTTTAGTATTTTAGACCTTTAAAAGTTATGAGAATACAAACAAGAAGGAATTTACAATTGCTTTTATCTGCATAAGATTTATCTATATCTCTTCTTACAGAAGTTTAAATTTCCTGTTTATTTTCATAGATTGATTACCTCTGGAATGAAACAGTACCCGAAACGTAAAGGTTTACAATGAACAAACCGGCCGGGAGGCGTGGTTGATTTTTCGCTGGCCTTCTGCACCTAAGGCTGCGGGTTCAACCCCGGCCCACGTCGGTGGATTTTCATGATGTAGAAAATCGACAGCGGCCATGTCGTATGATTATACGGCATGTGAAAGATCCCTAGAGTGTCTGTTTGGCTTGGGTGCTCTCGGCAAAATTAAATCTTAATACAGGTTCGCATTGTTAGAGCTCAGGTACCTCCCTCTAGGGAGGAAACTGGCCGTCAAAATTACCTGCGGTGGTAATTTTATATAATTGGTATCCGCCTACATGGTGCCGCATTAAAAAGAGATACCAGATTCCGGGAAATGTACTAGGTTTGAAATGGAAAAACTCCAATCCGCAGCCCATTAGAAATAAAATAAATTAAACAACAGTATAATTTAAGTTCACACGGGATTGTAATAAAAAATATCCATTTCTCATATACATTTTTGAAATTCATAATCTTATATATAATTTGAATATTTGTATGTTTATTTGGAACGTTTAAAAATCTACACCATTTATAGTATCGTTCCAAAATTTGCGCAGAGTTTCGCTTACGTTTCAATCAATCCATAAACATATTGCCACCAAAATTTTTTTAAAGTTATTTTCGACGAATATTTTCAAAGCCTCCCCTCCCCCCCTCGCTTAAGGAAGAGTTTCTGTGTGTATGTGCGAAGTCTCCAAAAGGTTTGCGGACATCATCGACTCCCAAAGATGTTCTAGGGGGTGTTATAGATAAAAATTCCTTTTTTAGTACGATTAGACATATACACTTTCATTTTGGTAAGTGTGTTTCTTCTCATGAGTAGAAATTCGCTAAGAACTAGTTTTGCTGAAGATTCCAAAGGTGTTTGGCAGTGGGGGGGGGGCCTAAAATATAAATATATTCTGTTTTAGAGCTTCAAGATCTGTTTATTCTAAATCAAGAGGTGAGGGTTACGAAAGTGTTTTTCGAATACAATCGAAAGTTAAATGCTAAGACTTGTTATCAATTACTTTAAAATATATATATATACTGGTGGGTAACAACTAGCTATTCAAGAAAAAAAGATATTTACTGCAGTATTCTTAGGGACGGCTCTATCCGCGTCCTTCTGATTAACAAATCCTCTTGGGAAATCTTTGGTCCTTAAAAACTACAGTGGGTGATCGGTTAACGAACATAATCCGTTCCAAGACTGTGTTCGCTATCCGAATTGTTCGTTAATCGATCATCGATTTACCGTAGACTTCTATGTGAAATCGATTAATTCGTTCTGGAGACCCTGAAAATTAAATTTTAAAAAATGTATAATTTCTTAGTAAGTTTTTTAAAAATAATACATACATATAGTATTGCATATTAATCTGTCCTTTTCATTTTTTGCTTATGGGGCGTTGAAGAACATCTCCAATGTCGATTGTTTTTCTCTCTTTTTCAGGATTTTCCGGAAGTAATTAATAGCATTGTCATTGTAAAGATCCCCAACCCTACTGACATCAGCTTGGTTTGGGTGCCATTCTAAGATTATTGCTCTGACAGCATCCTATTTTTTAAAAAGATCTTTAACGACAGATGTCGGCATTGGTCCTCTTTCGTCTTCCTCTTGTTCAGGAGACACATTTCGTTGTGTTTCTTGGTGTTCTTCATTCAAAATTTCTTGGAGTTCTTCTATCATCAGTTCATCTTCATGTCCCATTATGAGCTCTTTTATGTCATCCTCGTTCACCTCCAATTCCAGATCTCTAGCAGTTGTCAAAATTTCATCTATAATATAAGGGGAGTCTCCCTGATCACCTCCGAATATGTGTTCGTTGTCCAAACACAAAAATTCTTTCTTGAAAGTGTTCGTTATCCGAACACAAAAATCTTTCGTGAAAGTGTTCGTTAACCGATCACCCTCTGTATTTTATTTGCAACGCTCCCTCTAAAAAAAGAACGTGAACATCTAATTTAAGACTACTAAATATAGTCTAGGCTTTCAAGTTAGAGAGAGAGATAGGATAGATTACTAGAGAGGAACCGTGATGAATCAAATTTATAGTGTAACGCAGATATTTGCTATTTGATAATTGTAATAATTAAGGTGACGATTTTTCACTAGAGATTGAATAGAGGTTAGATAGTGATGGGAGGCCAGATTTGTTCCTGTTTAGAATTCGCCAGGTTTGTTCCTGTTTAGAATTCGCCAGATTTGTTCCTGTTTAGAATTCGCCAGATTTGTTCCTGTTTAGAATTCGCCCCTGAAATGGCTTGGAATTTTTATACAAGTCCCCCCCTGACCGGATGTGGGGAAATTCCTTTTGGTGGGGTGCGTCAAAAAAAAAAAGTTCCCGCGTTAAAAAGTTCACTAAACCCATAAATTTTGAGGTGGTGTAACACTGCGCCGGCCTCGGGACCAATCAGAGAAATTATACTGGACAAGACAAAGAGTCCAGCTCTAGGATTTTTGGGTGACGAGGTGCTTAATAAAAACGGCACGCACCCGAATTTAGAGAGAGAAAGCCGATCCCAGAGCTACAGAAGAACCGTACTCCGAGATTCCGGGCGTCA